TGGAGGTCAGGGCTACGTCTCTGTTTTCAGTGGTCTACTGTCCGTTTAAAGGTCCATGGCAGCATCAGCACCTTAGCCCAGTTACAACCCCCCCCCGTCCCTCACTTCTCCTGCTGCCTGCAAGGGAGAACAGAAGCCTGTAGCCAGACTGGCTGCTGCTGCTGGGCTATAGCTTGCTCTTCTACCTTCCTCACCAATCAGTAAGTCCAAATAACCTGAACCACTCCCTAAACTTTCATTAAACCCAAAATTTCAGAAGTGTCTGAGGTTGCTTTTGTATTCCTGTCTTGAAATGAAACAGGGAATTTTGAGTTTGAGTACCATTCTATTCTATTCCAAACATCCAAAGCAAAATGTGCTGTTATCCTGGAATACTCTACTTTTGACTAACCTTTGTAGTAGGATTGTCACAGAACTTTTGGGAATTTCACTGATTTGTTCATCATGTAAATAATCCTCTCACATTAATTTTGTAATTATTACTAATATTGAAAACATGCATTTTAATATGTCAACAGTTCTTCTCTCTTTTCACCCAAGCTGTAATACTTCAGGGTCAAAAGTCACTGTGCAGAAGTGGTTAAATCAGTGGGATTACTTCCTGAAGATACCAATGATTCTGTGGTACTAAATTGCACTGAGTGGTTGTACTGAATCTTTATAATATTTGTGCAGTCTGTTGGAATACTTATGTAATGATTTCATGTTTAACTGTGTGTGTGTGGCTTTAAAAGTTTGGTTTGCATGGCTGTGATGATAATCTAGAGTGCTGGAATCAGGCAAGTGATATGATTGGTGAGTGACAGAGAGGGGGAGGGGTTTTGGAATGGATGCTGTGTGGAGGTTTTGAATGTCTGTCAAGAGGGTCAGTTAGAGATGACAGTTGATGAAGCCAGGGAAAGGGCAGTTAAGCTATGTATGAGAGAGAAGGAGAAGCTTCCCTGTGTGGGTTGTTAAGTTCTATGTCTTAGAGTTGAATAAGATAAGGAGTTGATTCTGAGGTCTGAAGGAGAGACCTTCTTGTGTGTGATATGAGAGTTAAGTGCTGTGACTGAAAGAAAGTGACAAGCAGTTCTGTGTTGAAACAGTTATAAGCTGAAGCTGAATGTCTAGGAAACAGTAAAGATTATATGGACTTGGAGGAAAAGTGTTACAAAGT